GACATGATTGAGAAAGATGTCTATCCTCCATGAGCTTCTAGGCATTTGGAAGAGACATATAGACTCTCAAGACACAAATACATAAAGTAATTTGGGCTGGGGCAAAGGAAAGGACCACACTGATTGTAAGTATGGGGTATTTGGAAATATCTTAGAATGAGCTGTATGGCTTAACTGTCAGAAACATGTCAGAGATATTCCAGGAAGAGGGAATAGCATGTACAAACGAATGTGGGAGAGAACAGGAACACAGTGAGGAACAAGTGCCTGGGGGAGCGGGGGTGGGAGGCTGATAGATGAGGAGTGGTCCAAGGTGAGTCTGAAGAAACATGCCTGTCAGGCTGGTATGTTTGCATTTGATCTGGTTGACACTGGGGACTCATTTAAATCTTTTGAGCTGGAAGGTAAGAACATGAAGAGGAGATAGAAGACCAGGCCAGAGACTCAGCCTCTGCTGTCACCACACACACCCCCTTTCCCATAGAAGAAGGTGAACTTGTAAGGCTCTTAACTTTTTGTTATCTAATACAATAGCTGTGCCTGAGGCTTCTTAGAATTTTGCAGCACAATCTGGCTGCTGGGATCAGCAGTTCCATGGGTGTGAGCTGGGAGTCTTCCAGCTGGGAGAAAGCCCTTGGAGGATTGCAGGATCTCAATGCTTTCATCCCTTGTTGGTAGGCATGTTCAGCCAAAAAGGTCCCCATGGGATTTTTACCCTAGCATCTTTGCCCTTGGGGAAGAAGAAGTGCTAGGCTTTTTATTTTATTGCTTTGAATTATTTATTTTTATTTTATGTGTACGAGTGTTTTGCCTACATGTATGTAAGTGTACCACACGCATACAATGCCCATGGAAGCCAGAAGAGGGCTTCAGAACTCCTGGAACTAGAGTTATGGACAGCTGTTAGCCACCATGTAGGTGCTGGGAATCGAACCCAGGTCCTCTGCAGGAGCAGCCAGTGCTCTTATGTGCTGAGTCATCTCTCTAGTCCCCCAAATCTATCTTTTTACATAATCTGCTGCTGTCTTCAACGTCATGTCCTGCCTAGTCTTCCCTCTGCTGTGTTTTACATGCTATAAGTTCTTCTCTTCCAACCTTACTTAAACCTTCTGCTATCCAACTGTAAATCTAGAAAACAATTCTAGTGAATCCATACCAAAGTGCTGATAATTTTGAAACTGTAATATACTCTATCTCCAGGTAAGTGTGTATGCGAAGAAATGAAGATGCTTTTCTTTTGGAGGGATTTCAGCAGTCTGGTCGGCTTCTGTGGAAAAGCTCTTGCTGGGTCTTCAGATCACACCCTTCCCGGGATGAGGAATGCCCCTGTGTCATGGCATTAGCCTGCACAATCTAGCTGCCACAGTGCTTAGCTGGCTCATTGGGTGTCACTCCTTGGTCAAGGAGTGGTTGCTTCCATCTAAGCAACAGCAAGCCTGGCCTCGGCAGACATGTGCTGCTTTGTGAATTACCAAACACTTAATGCTGTCTGACCTGGTTCTCAAAGCCTGAGCATTTAAGACTAGGGCGCCAACAAGCAGCCATGACTCTCCCCTGTGCTACTTTCTCTACGGACTTCCTTTCTTTGTTCTATTTGGAAAATAAAAGGATTCTTCATTTGTAAAAATGCCCCCCCCAAGTCTTTAGCATAAATCCACTTCTTGCATTTTCAGAAATTTGTGAAACTTGAAGGCATTGTAGACAACGTCTAGATGACTCCAAACTCCATGGACACTGTTTATTTATTTATTTATTTATTTATTTATTTATTTATTTATTTATCATTTCCAGCACCCCAAACACTTAACATACTTATTTGTGGAAAAGGTTTGAGTGAATCAACTTTACAGATGAAGAAACTGATGTTTGTAGTGGGGAGAATGGGACAGCAGTGGACTAGAACTCAGGTTTTCTAACAGGCCTATATAATATCTTCTCCCCCATTAAATAAAAATCAGGTTCTTTGCCAATATGAAGATCCCAGTTTGAGAAAAATGGCATTAACATCAGAATCGGGCCTGGAAAGAGCCAGTAAGACAAGTTGCTTTTATTTTGCAAATGAGAAAATCAAGGCCCAGAGAGGAAGTCCTGTTGCTGGCTGTGACAAAGCCAAGCTAGAACCACCACGATCTTTCTGCTCTGTACAGATCTGTCCCCTTTCACCATTGCTTAACGCTGAACATCTATCTATGTCTGTGCATAGATTTTATTGTTTATCTAAATGGGATTCTATTCCTCATACTGGCCGGTAGTTACCTGAAAATTCATATTCCATGAGGATTCTGTCTTGGCCAGAAGAGCTGTGTACATGAAAGAAGCCCGAGTCCTCCCTAGAGGAGGATCCTGGCTGCAGAGGCTCAGCCAGGGATTTCCAGCCTCTCTGAGTCAGGTAAGCATGAAGCATTCTCCTTTGACTATGCTGCTTCCTGTCTCAAACCCTGGTGCGAAGCCCTGTGTTCTCAGGACTTCAGTCTCCTGTGAGTGGTGTCACTTGTCTTGAAGTGCTTCTGAGCCATAGTTTACATAATGAAGGGGGCAGGTGACTCCCCTCTCAGCCTTCAGACTTGGGGCAGAGGCCCTGGGGTTAACTGCAGAGGGTACAGCCTGGAGAGTCGCTAGTGCTTTTATACTAAGCCATCCTTTATACTAAAATGGCCCGTGGGAGGTTTATGGAAAAAAATTTGTCCTGGCTCTTCTTTTCTTTTAAGTGGATCTTAGATTCATAACAACCCAAGGATTACAAAAGCAAATCAAACCCCAGGAGTCACTTCACCCACATCCCCAGCACTTTGGCAGCATCTCAGACTCTAGGATTCCCAAGTAGGAACTCAAACAGCTCCCGACTGGGAGTATCTTCAGCATGAAGCAGCTGAGAAAAGGGGACACAAGAGAGGAGAGATGACTCCAACATAGACACTAGCTAAGCAGGTGAGAAGGAAGGAGCACAGAGACGGTCAGAGACAGACAGATTGAACCAGAAGGAAGTCAGAAGGTAACTGAGGCAGGAGAAGAAAAACAGACATGAGGCTGGCAATGTAGAGAGAAGAGGAAGGGTGGAATGAGAAACAGCCTGAGAGAAATTTAGAAAAAGATCAGGGTAAAAAGAACGAGGAGTGAGGATACAATGTAGAGAGAGGGAAAGGAATGTGAAAAGGGAGATTGGGAAGGGAGGGAAGAAGAGAGATCTGGGAGCACAGGGCAAGACAGCTGTGTGTTGTTTGACTGGCTTTCATTTCCTACTCTGTGAGGCTGCTGAGGGTCAGGTCCATGGTAGAGGAGATAGTAGATCCTTTGGGGATGTCTCAGGACAGTTGTGCTGATACGGACTCTGAGGTTCCCAGCCAGAGGTCTTAGGATGTAGAGAGTATGACTTTTCTGTCCTGATGTTGGCTTCCACAGCTCCCTCTTCATTCTCAGCCTTGAGTGACTTTTAATGCTTTATTTTGTGCTTAGCCTGTCTGGAATTGCTAAACTGTGGAAGCTTGAACACTCCTTGCTCTCATTCTCTCTTTGCTTAGACTTGCAGGTAGAAAGGGCAATATTATCCAAGCCATTTTGGAACAACTCCCAAACCCTCTCACCTCTCTACTCTGTGATTTGGATCCAAGTATTGAGACTATTCTAATTCACATGCACAGCCGACAGCAGCATTGGGCAAATCCCCTGCCTCGATTGAGTTCTGGAGCTGTATGTTATTTTTATCTACCACTGGCTCCTTTGACAGTATAAAATATTACCCTTTGAAGAGCCCGTAGAGATGTCCTGGTCTGTGCCAAGAATGTAGCTGGACTTTCCTTTTGAAAACTGCTGCCAGAACTCCCATCTAGACAACAAACTCAACTTCACAGGAGCTAGACTTTCAGGATAGCTGTCCTTAAACTTCCTCTGTGGTAGAAGAAAAAAGGGTTGGATCTGACTGATTCTTGATCCTTTCTCCATAAGGATACACAATGGTCCTATACTTCCTGGCCTTTATATGTCCATCCTTTAGATTCCTAACCCAGAACTGCTCTTACTAGCCAGGAATCTGTTGGAACATTTGTAGTTACATGAAAAAAACCCTGGCCTTAGAATGTAGACATCTGATATTTGCTCCAACTGCATAGTGTTATGAACCAGAGCAATTGACTGGCAGTTCAGTTTCTAAGCTTTCTTGATTCAAATTCTGATACTTATTAGATAATTTCTGAGACTGTTTCCCAGCTCCAAGTTTCCAACGGCCCCAAAGCAGCCTCTCTCAACCTCGTTCTCCTCCCCCTTTCCCTCCCTCCCTCCCTTCTTTCCTTCATGTGTTTATCTGTCTATATGGAGATTTTTCTGTTTCTCTGGTATTTTTCTTTTGTCACAGTAGAAAGACAGGTGGATTTGAAGTCTCTTAGCTGCTGAGAAAGGAGAAGGGAGGGTGAGGCAAAGATATTTCCTCTGCTGTTCTAAAGAAAATTGAGGTACTTAAAAAACCCATCTCCTGCTGTTTTCTACAAGGCTTTACAGTTGGAGGGAGAGATAGTTAAGCCCTCTTAATAGCCATATATCATTCTCAAGTCTGTTCCTAGAGGAATGAGTCTAAATCTATTTGTCATACACACACAGATATTTTTTGCCTCCCCAAAATGGTTAATTAAGTGTGATGGTCAGTCTAGTAGCTTGGGTGCACTGACATGTAGATAATTGTGTGTGATAGTGTATTTGCCCCTGGCTGGCTGAGTGTTGAACCTCTTTGTGTGTAACTGAGTGTACACACGTGCACATGAATGACTGAAAATATGAAAAGTGCATGTGAGCACTGAGTGCAAATAAGATTGTGAGAACGGTGGGGCAGTGGGGAATTGTATGTGTCCGTGTGGGTGCAGGATTTTTCCCCTTTCTTTAATAAACCACTTTAGATCATGTCGCCTGCCCTCACTCTGTGATTGATTTTGCGAGGCTAATGGTGCGTAAAAGCACTGGTGAGATCTGGGGGCGCCTCCTAGGCTGACGTCAGAGAGAGAGTTTAAAAGGGGGAGACGGGTGGAGAGCACAGCCGACACAGTCGCTGCTGCCTGCGGATCCCCGTCTAGACGGACCCACTGCGCTCCAGCTCGGCTGCCTGTGGCTGCGGAGATGCTGTCCTGCCGCCTCCAGTGCGCGCTGGCCGCGCTCTCCATTGTCCTGGCTCTGGGCGGTGTCACCTGCGCGCCCTCGGACCCCAGACTCCGTCAGTTTCTGCAGAAGTCTCTGGCCGCTGCCGCAGGAAAGCAGGTAAGGAAACTCCCTGTGCTCTTCCCTCCCGCGGATCCCTCAGCCTTCCCCGCAGCCCCTTGAACTTAGACTTAACAGGTGTTTGGTTCTTCTGAAGTTTCGGTGCTTTTCAGAGTCCCTCAGCTCCTCATCTCCCATGGAAACTTTCGAAGACTAGAATCCCCTTACTCCCCCCCCGCGCGCCCATTAACTCAGTCCGTCTCACTGTAGGTAAGTTCTTCCCTGGCGTTCAAGAAAAAGCCAAAGGTGGATAATGAAGCAGCAAGGGACTATGGCTCTGTCCCGGTGCTGCCCCTGGGGTTGCTGACCCAGGTGCTGAAATGCTGTGTTCTTCCACGCTGTGGGGCTGGGGCCAGGGCCTCTGCAGACCAGCAGTCAGGTTTGCCTTTACTTTGCAAAAGTGGTAAGAACAGTTCCATTTTGCAGCTCGTAAAAAAGAAAATAGAGCAATCCAAACTGCTACATGTTCTTTATCCTTACAAAATTCTCTCTCTCTCTCTCTCTCTCTCTCTCTCCTCTCCATTCGGTACACAAATTTGGTTCTACACTCTCTCTCTCTCTCTCTCTCTCTCTCCCCCCCCGTGTGTGTTTTAAACCTGTACAGTCAGAGCACTTGCTGAAAGATTTGGGATTTTTGAAGGGTTTTTTTTTTGCATAATTTGGTGAACATAGCAACTATCTGTATTATTTTTATATGCAATCGGTTTTAAATGTCATAAGAGGCACAGCTATGAAAACTGGGGTTTGAATGAACAAATTGATTTTCCAAATTATGTTTTTTTCATTTCTTCTTTTTCTTCCTCCCGCCTCTCTTTTGCTCTTCCTTCTTCTCTATTCAGGAACTGGCCAAGTACTTCTTGGCAGAGCTGCTGTCTGAGCCCAACCAGACGGAGAATGATGCCCTGGAACCTGAAGATTTGTCCCAGGCTGCAGAGCAGGATGAGATGAGGCTGGAGCTGCAGAGGTCTGCCAACTCAAACCCAGCAATGGCACCCCGAGAACGCAAAGCTGGATGCAAGAATTTCTTCTGGAAGACTTTCACATCCTGTTAGCTTTATCATTATGGTCTATGTCAGACCTTTCTGCTCCTTCTCCTCCAAACCCCACCTCTCTTCCTTGACCCCATCCCCCAATGCTCAACAAGACCCTGGCATTAGAAATTGAAGGCTGTAAATACAAAATAAAATTATGGTGAAATTATGGAAAATAAGAATTTATTTTCTTACTGAGTAAATCATTGTGTTTGATAATACATGATAAACTTGAGTTGTGGTTTCAGGATGCACTACGATGTTTACCAACATCTATTTTAAATTCCATGTGGCAATAAAGGTTATCCATAAACATTATCTACATATTAAAAGCTTTCAGAAACATATGTTGGATTATCAAAATGAGTGTTAGTATTCATGGGCAGGCAGGCTGAAATGTTTAACTATACAGTAGGCTGATACATAAAACACATTCTATATTTAAGATGGAAAGAAAAATCATTAAAAGCGGGGGAAAAGTTGGCCTAAGTAGCTAAAATAAAATATCAGCTTTAAAATTTGTTTCTAGTTTGTGAACCTTTACCTATAAAAACAACATTGATTTTATATCTTCTTTGACAATCTTCTCTGCAGCTGAAAAGGGCTAAATGACTACTTATGTTTTCAAAGTAGGATTCACATTGTTTTCTACAAGGGAGATTATCCTTTTTGTCGAGAATTCCACAAAATTCCAGGAGTGCTATGGGTCGTAAGGAATGTTGTCGGTCACTGAACGACACACTGTACTGAAGGTATCTCTGCCCCAAATCTTTATCACGGAATAACTGGAGGAGTTTAGCAAGAGTCAAATAAAATGCAAAAACCAAGGAATAAATACTCAATAAATTATATGTATTAGTGACATTGCAACAACATGTTAAATGGTACTACTCAAGGGAGAGATTGAAAAATTGATCATTTAACTCACAAAGACTTGATATCTTTTGGGGAATACACATTTTAAATCTCAACCATATTTCTGCACAACTGCTGGAAAAATAAAATCAAATATAAATATGTAGACTGAATATTAATATCAATAGTGAAAACTTACTAATGGGGCAAATAAAGATCAAAAATAAACTTCACGTTTTTATTGAAAATATTTATTCTAGTTAAAACATATTTTGAATGTGAATGTGGCTTTGTGGATGTTAATTCCTGAACAGCTGATCAAACAAGGGGTGGGGGAACCTAAGCCATTTTACTAATCTCTGTGAAAACAGAGCACTCTGAGGTTTTGGTGCATCTTTCGTTGACGAGTCTTTTGGGGAGTATTAATGCATGTCCACTTAAAGGACTTGTCTGTGCTGACTGCCAGGCTGCCAATAACCCCTGCAAAGAATAACACTACCATGCTTAAAGAACAGAAGAGAACAGAGTTTGTTTTCCAAGCAGCAAATGAACTGTGTGAGTGTCAGGGGATTAAAATTGTTTAGCATCATCTTCGTTTGTCAGTTCCTAAAGGTAGCATGGAAATCAGCAAGAATTGCATAGTTCCATGCCTCACACATGGCTATTCTTTAATACTTAAGTACAGGAAGCCTTTTGGACAGGGTTATTTATCACTTGGTCTCAGTTCTTCCACCTCCATAAACAGAGGGTTGTGTTACAAAAGAGACTAACACCCTTCCAATTTTGCCTGACATTTTATACTTTGAAAACAACAAAGGTACTTGGGGAATATTGATCTTGGGTCACTTAAAATTATATTTTAGGGGCACAAGGAAGAACAGTTAAGTAGGTGTTAGAACAAAGATTAATAATGAAAACTAATAATGCATATGTATGAAATGCCATAATGAAACCCATTATATTGTATGTGAACTTAAAATATTAATAAGAAAGAAAATACATAAAAATAGTTTGTTCCATTTTGATTTATTTAGAGTATCTTACTTTTTACTTCTATATGGTTCAAGTTCCTCCAAAGTTTGAGTCACTGAAAGTTTGAACAACCTGCTATATCTTTTAGTTACTGAGTTTGGGTAAGGCATTATTCTTTCCTGGACCCTAGTTTCCCTATCTGAAAAAATATAAAGCAGTAAACCTCTCAAGATTATGAGGGTTTGATCATCTATTTTAAGTTCTTAGGGTCAGGTAAGTAGCTGCTGACTGTCAGATGCCGGCGTTAATTTTGTTCTCATAAGCGGTGAGCTTTCTAGCTGCTTGTTTCTTCATCTTTGCCGTAGATTTCCACAGGCCAAATCTAACTCAGTCTTCAAAGCCCATTTGATATACTTCTTGCTCCATAAAATCCTTGCTGTGTGCTCTCATTTGAAAAGTCTGTCTTGTTTGGTTACTTAATGTGTCTCTTCTATGGTGCTTACTTGCCATATTGTACTGTTTGCTATGGTTGTATGAGTGTGTATGAGAGAGTACACATTTGTGTATGAACTTCTTTTGGGTAAACATATGTCCTTTCAGTATCTCACAAGTGTCTTATGCATAGTAGTTTGTCAGTGTCCATCAAAACAACGAATGATCTATTCACTGGCAAGTGAAACAAATTTCGATTTACTAGGTGAAAACATTCTTCATTAATTCTTGATTTGACATGGGAAAATGGCATCAGTGTCCATTGTATGTGAAGCTAATGTGACACTATAAATGTGCACAGTTATGAGGTCAATAACCACTGAAGCATGATGTAAACCTCAGCCAGTCCAGGTTTCTTTTTTTAACAAAATATTTTATTATTTTTATTTTATGTGTATGAGTGCATTGCCTGCATATATGTTACTGCACCCATGTTGTACAAAGCCTGCAGGGGCCAGAAGAAGGTGTTGGATCCCCTAGAACTGGAGTTATGGATGGTTATTAGCCACCATGTGGGTGCTGAGAATCAAACCCAGGTCCTCTGGAAGAGGAGCCAGTGCTCTTAACCACTGAGCCATCTCTCCAGCCCCAGTCTAGGTTTCTTGAACCAACTCAGCAAGCTCTCAGGAGGATCTGCTTTAGTATACACCAATCATGGGGCCCACAACACCAGAAAACTGGACTTGTTAACCCTTATCTCATGATTATATAATCTAAGATAATGAAGGTGTTTTTTTTTTAATACAAAAAAAGCAGGTTCATTTATTTTCCTTCTTTCTAGACTGAAGAGGATGTAACAAGGTATTTTGCCTTACCTCACAGTGTCACTCGTTTTTGTTTGTTTGTTTTTTTTTTTTTTTTGATACAAAGGTTCACTGTGTATCCATGACTGGCCTTGAACTTTCAACCTTCCTGCCTCAGTTTATAAGTGCTGGAATCACAGGTATGTGCCACCATGCTGACTGAGCTCCTGTGCTTTTATTTGCCTACCTATTTACTAAACAAAAAAAAATTTTGAGTGAAAAGTCCATGCCCAATAACTTCCTGTGTATGAGAAGACAGGGGTTGTAAAAGGCAGACATGCAATTTCAGAAAAAGAAATGCCTGCCAAGCAGTAAACAGAGTAAGGCAGTGCCAAAAAGTTCATTCGAGTTTGTTTGCTTGTTTGGTAACTCTATAGCTACAGTTTCAAGTTTCCTGATTGTAACTCTAATTATTCTCAGTATACAGACAATTCTGTATTAGAGTGACATAAAGTACATCTGTCATTCTAAATGCCCTACATGGAAGGGGACTCCAAAACTATCACTGATCTTTCCATTCATTTCACTGAAAGATGACAGAAAAATTATGTTAACTGCCCAATATAACACAGTAACTTGATGCGAAGTTTGAACAAATCCTAGCTTGCCCTGCTAGACCTCTGGGTTGCTCTCATTATTGTGTTACACTGCTCCCAGAGGAGCCTGACCTTCTCCATAACTGGCATGCTTCATTAGTCTGGTAGAAATACTTGGCTTTGGAGCTTCCTTACTTTCTACCAGACAAATGGTCTGCTCCTTGTAGAAAACAAAAAATTGGTACAAAACAACTTCTTATGGTAGCAGAGGAACATTAGGAAGAAATGATGATGGTACTGACTGAGAGGAAAAGAAACTCAAGGGAGAACTGCAATGTACTATATTAGACTCAGGATGTGAAGAATGATTCTCTCTTAGAGTAGAGACAAAAGGGGCTGCCGTGGAGGCAGATAGATTTTTGCAAGGAGATGGCAGTCCTGGAGAATGATCTTCACAGAGGTTCTGCATCTTCAGAACTAGGGAATAGGTATCTCCCTGATCTTCTCCAGTTCTTTTTAATTAATTAATTAATTTTTATTTTATCTGTATGAGTACTTTGGTTGCATGTATGTGCAATGCCCACAGAGGTATTGGATCCCCTGGAACTGGAGTTACAGATGGTTGTTAGCAGTCATGTGGGTGCTGGGACCTGAACTCAGGTCCTCTGAAAAAACAGTCAGTGATCTTAGGTGCTGGGCCAGTTCTCTAGCCTCTTTTCTCCAATTCTTTGGTAAACAAGCACAAATGCTTTAGTTCTTGGTGTTTGGGTTTCCATCAAGGACTTTTCTACAAACTTGGAAATAAAACTTGTAGGGTAAGCTTCTTGCTTTTATGGAACTGAGTCTAGTAAGTGCGGCACATTCATCATGAACAGCCAGGTGCTATCATGGGGGGTTGTGGGAGAGCTGGGAAAGCAGAGGGGTGTCAGAAACTCTTTCTCTTCTCTCTAGTCTTCTTTCTAGTTACAAATAATGATTTATAAGGCTAAATGATTTCTTTTTGAGACGTGGTCTCCCTGTAGCCCCAGCTGGCCAGGAACTTGCTGTCTATTAGTCTGGCCTCAATCTCACAGAGATCTACATGTCTCTACTTCCTGAGTGCTGGGCAGAAAGGCACGTTGTGCCACTGTGCCCATCTAGGCTAACTGATTTTATTCCAGATGGACTGAATCAGTTATAGGCATACTGATGTAGTAAAATTTTCCATAGTGTAATATAGGTTAGTTTGAAAAGTGTTACTATTCTTGAGGATGAATATACTGAATTGCAAATTCAGTAACTTGATCAAGACAGGTAGAGCTGGAACCAGGCTATCTGACTTTCAATTCAATTCTCTTCCCCCTGTTACTTAGGGGAAGGGACAGAGTTAAAGGAAGATTGCAACTTGTTAACAAATGAAGAACAGATTAGCCCCGGACCATCCCCACTTAGTTCTACATAAAATACACATGAGATTACCACTCCATTATTGTTAGAGGAAGAAGGGATTTAAGATCTGGGATTGGGATTTAATTTCGAGAATTT